TTTGACGGATTGGCCAGTCGAAAGCGCAGTAGCTAAGCGCTTAGCTACGACACTGGAGCATTAAGTTCGAATCCACAAGAGCTTGTATGACCCACAAATAATTGCTCCCCGTCGTACAAATAGTAAAATTAAAATCTTCATTACGTATTTTTACATCCTTTGGTGTAATTTTTTTTTTCAAAATAAGATCAATCTTGATTTGATTCTCTTTCTGATTATCTGAAGATTTCAATAATTAAAATTGGTTCACTTTTGGCTAAGATATCGCGAATCATACATCCAAAAAAATAGTCGAATCGAGAAATTTTTCTTTTTTTAGAAGTCAAATACCAAACTTGTATAAAACTCAGGTAAAGGGTCTACATACATAACATGTTTTGCATTTAAAGATATCAAATAACTTTTTGAGTTACATATAAAATCTCCTAAATCATTTGGACGCGGGACTAAACGTAGAATTAAGAACAACATAACAAAAAATACATAGGGTTAAATACTCGTAGGATGTCTCAAACATTTTACTGGATATAAATTTAAAATTCGTTTCTTTTAACGTGGTAAAGAAAAACATCTTGAAGAAACCTGCTTGTTTGAGAAATTAAAACAAATTTATTTCGAGGACATGTGAATGTGGCCAACACGCATTGGACAGCTCGCTAAGTATATCTTGTAAATATATGTGGTTATTTTCCTTTACTTATAGCTTAATAAAAATACATCCTTCGTAGACTATGTAACCCTTGGGGTATATTAGATTTATTTAATGTTAGCTGAGGATCAAATTATTGTTTTTTTTTTTCAGTTTATGTATTTTTATAGTTATATTCATGCGGAGTTTACCTTTATGTAATTAGCAATTGTATTATTACTTTTAAGTAATTGTACTTATTTGTTGCGTTAGTGTTAACAATTGTTGGCAAACCTTAAAAAGAGAGAACTTTTTTAATAAAATATGCATCATCAGGGGAATCCCCTCTACGTGCTCTACCATGGGAAGCCTCAAGCAAAGCAAAAAAAGCTTGAATCCTATGCGATTGTATTAGACATAAGGTATTTTATATAAGTTATAGACACTGCAAACTTATTGATTAACTAATATCCATGATATAAAATATAGTATGGCGAACGTTTGATATATGAATTTTATGATGTTTAAAATTGACGTATTTTACAATTCGAATTTTATTTTATTTTATTTATTAGGTTTACCAGTAATTGTAACAATACTACATCAAAGAGTATTTAACAATAGCATGTACAGCCAAATGCACAATTAATTAAGGTAAACACCACATGCACAAAATATGTGTTCACAATAAATGAGAAAAAGAAAGAGAAAAAAGGAAACAATAACAGCACAGTATATAAATGAACATAAAAATTACTTAAATATAACTCGACTATGGTTTTTTGCAAGTGTTTGCGAAACGTATTCAGACTTGAAGCATGGATATCTATGTTTTTACCATAATAGTTTAGAAGTCTCCTTGCTCTAGGGACAAATGAACTTGAGCCCAAAGATGTTGTGTGCAATGGTGGAACTAATGGTGATATTTTAGTCCTAGGTAATTTGTGTGGTACATTGAATTAACATAATACCTAACACCTACGGAAGAACTGAAGTGTTTGGCGTCCTAATGCAAATTTAATTTGGTGATTTTGAATACTAAATTTTATTCCGATATACGCTAGCAGTAACTACAGCTTCTTGAATACTTGACACAAAAATTGTTCATTTTTATAGGATAAGTTTGACAAGCGAGCACACAAGCGTGCACCGCCTGGTGGTAAGTAGTTGCTGTGGTCCATAGATATTTACATCTATCCTCGTTTGCGAATCAAAATGCAGATGTGTTGTCAGTCGCGAGGACTAAGATGGAATGCCTCTTTTCCAGTAAAAAGGGTAGCCAGTTCTCTACACTCACTTCATGAAACACAGCAGCATTAAGCTACTATTACTGAAAATTTCGGGAATCAAGGAAGTGACACAACATTATTGTTTAAAAATGTATTTATTGCTTTTCGAAGCATTCTCCGCGAAATTTGACACATTTTTCCATACGATGGAACCAATCATTGAAGCAACCATTCCATTCGGAAGTTAGGGTCTCCAAAATGGCCGTTTTATAGGCGTCCACAGCTTCTTCAGGTGATGAAAATCTCTGTCCACGCAATTTATTCTTTATTTTAGGGAAAGTATAGAAATCAATAGGCTTAGGTCGGGGCTGTACGGCGGATGGTCTAATAATTCTATGTTTTCTTGCTCTAAAATCTCTTTTGTTCTGTGTGCGGTGTGAGAACTCGCATTGTCGTGATGGAGGATGATGCGGCGGTTGCAGTTCTCTTTACGGAGTTCAGAAACGACCTGTGGCAAACAAATGCTAGCATACCATTCTGCATTAATCGTTCTTTGTCTCTCGTGTCGTAACATGGCCGGTTTTGGAACCGTGTTTTTTGCAACACTCCGTGAACGAACAATTTTTGTTGGCTTTAACTCATTTTCACTTTTGACACTTCCTTGCCCTAAAACCCTCTCAGAAGTGAGGGGAGGCCCGTGCCCAACATTGGAACGTATATAGGTTGTAACTTTAAACTATATAGTGGCGGTGAAAAAATAACTTCTACTCCACATCGTCCCATGGGTGTCGTAAGAGGCGACAGAGGAAAAACAATCAGATGGACAAAATCGTCTTCTATTAACAACTAAAAGTAATAATCAGCGGTTTGCCAACCAGTTTGCCAAGCATAGCAGCTATGGTATAATCTCTAATGATCTATGAGGAAGTATAAATTGGGATAATGGGAAAAAATTATAGTCAATTAGAATGACGATGTCATCAATACATATTTTATTGATTTATTTTTATGTAATCCATACACATAAGTAAAATTGAATTGTCTGTTTGTAAATTGAAATAACTGGCTTCTTTTATACGTGGTAGAGCCACGCTGCAGCTATATTATGGTTGTAGCGCGAATGCGTCGGCTGGTAATCGGGTGGCAGAATACCAGCGTAAAATAGCAGTTTAATACTGCTGTTTCGTATTGTGAGTATAGAGATATGGAGAACCATTTTTACTGGAAACGAGGCATTCCATCTTAGTCCTCAGGGGTGACAACGCATCTGCGTTTTGATTCTTGATCGAGGATAGATGTAAATGTCCATGGGCTATAGCACCCACTTACCAACAGGTTCACTGTGTGCTCGTTTGTTACCCTCATTCTATAAAAAAATATTTAAATTTTTTTTGTCTGTCTTTTCAGGCTAATCTTTGAAATAACTAAAGCAATTGTAACGAAAATTTTCGAACAGACAGTAAGCAATGCAGGAGCAATTTATATAGGCTTTATTTTATCCGAAAAAACTTGAAGTTTTTTTTTTGTAAAAACAAAAAATTATTTTAAAAAAATCGTTAATTATCTTAAACCTGAATACCACATTAATAGACGCCATCCAGACGGACGCTTAATAATTGCTGTCAAGTTAAAAAAAAATAAACTTAACTAATATTATTAGTATTCAAAATTTTACCTCAAACTCGTGAGGTTTAAAATTGGGTGCGCTTTACAATCTTTAAAAACATAACCACTTACCATCAGTTGGAACAGAAGGTAGACCCATGCTGCAGCTATATTAGTTAGTATAGTTGTAGCACAAATGGGTCGCCTTGAACTGAGAAGGACCACGCTCTCACAGAATACCAGCGTCAAATAGCAGCTTAACGCTATTGTGTTTCATATGGTGAGTGTAGAGAACCGGAGATTTTTTAACTGGAAAAGAGGCATTCGATCCTATTCCTCACGGCTGACAATTCATTTGCATTTTGATTCGTGATCGAGGACTGATGTAGTCTACGGGCAGCAGCAACTACTTACCAAAATGTGTACTGTGTGCTTATTTGTTATCCTTTTCTTATAAAAGTACAAGCTTAGATTGGTTCTACTTTTAATTCAAACGCGAACACAAACTGTAATAGAGATAAGTAAAGCTTTTTCTTTTTTTATCGTCCATGATTACGTTTTTTTATTAACTGGCTTTAGGGCTCTGGGTTCTAGCCCTTCTAAGCATATAATTTCTGTCAGAATCTTCATTTTTTATTTTTTCTTCACAATATGCTAATGCGTCACATTGCGAAGCTCTTGGGAGATTTTGCCGACAGCTCAACCCAGCGCACAGTTGATGACGACAGCCACTAAGGTTCATAAGGCACCCAAGCGATCAAAATAACTTGAGATTTATATCATCGACATCAAAGCACTTGATTCGTCGTTTTCTCTAATAGTTCATACGCGCGGACATTTAAATCACAAAATCTCATCACTTTTACGAATCAAATCCACTTCAAACCATTCTTCAAGCGACAAAACAGGGGCGACAGTCCGTGACATGTCCGTGTCATGTCAAAACTCCTTCATGATTATATTTTGGTGTGCAATAAAGAGTAATCTTTTTATCTATCTGTCCATCTGTCTACTCTATAATATCCAACGAAGTACGCCATTACCATCATAGTCATAGCAACCTGATATCCATTCCTTCACACAAACCTTCCCCAAATACTACAGCACTGTCTTAAGCCACCTAACCACGAACTTACATATTTGGATTTTTTCTAAATAATTTTTATTGCATTAGATTGCAAACGTTAATTTATAAAAACTTCAATTAATGCTATTGTTGTTCAAGTATAATGTGAAAGTTTTTATTAATTAGTAAATAGCAATTTACCTTAATGCCACAATTATGAATCATGTCCAAAGATTAATTAAGGAAAAATTATAGATACAGAAAATAAAAAAGCTTCCTATGAGAAAATAATATTCAAAATTATTAAAACATTTCCATTGCCATCCAACGAAGGTTCTTCTGGCTTTAACACGATCGATACTAATTATAGTAAAGGATTTTAACGACTGACTCACAAATTAATATATTTTAATAAGATATAAAATTATTTGGTTAATCTAAAAACACTTTATTTAAAAAAATTCAAACTTACCAATCAAAAATTCACGCCTATTTTGCAAGCACTAAATTAAAAAAAAATAATGGCACAAAACACAGCACTATAAAAACACCGATTTGTATTTCGAATAATGAAAATGGCGGACCCGCGCGTGCGAACACAGCGCACTCTTGCTTAACACTGAACTTGAGGAATGCTCTTGCGCAGTTCCAAGCCTGCTTGCCTTCACGCACCAAAAGCAAAAATAAACTTTAATTCTTCAACTAATATGAGGAACAAGTTTATAAGGACATGAATGAACGCCACTGTTAAGTAAGGAGTCAAATTGATTGGAGACGCCTAATTAAACTAATTATTTTAGTAGGATAGTACATTAACAAACTTTTTTTTATAGAATAAGGGTGACAAACGAGCACACGTCCACCTGATGGTAAGTGGATGCTGTGGTCCATAGACCGACACCTACATTTATCCTAGATTAAGAATTCAAATGCAGATGCGTTGTCACCCCTGAGGACTAAGATGGAATGCCTCGTTTCCAGTAAAAAAGGGTCTCCGGATCTCTACACTCACCAAACAAAACACGGCAGTATTAAGCTGTTATCTTACGCTGGTATTTTATGAGAGCGTAGTCTTTCCTCGGTCGAGCTGACCCATTCGTGCTACAACCGTAATATAGCTGCAGCGTGACTCTACCACGTATAATAAAATGGATAAAACTTGCGTATTGTGACAGTTACTATTTGATTGCACACAAACTATAAAAAGCTTTTGAAGTCAATCCAACTTTATACGTCCGGAGCTGCTACCTGCTAACACTGCCGTATATTGTGGCCGCAGCACCGGTTATGGAACAAACTAAAATACCAGCTAATGGTAAATGACTACTTTAATAAAATATGAATAGTCCTTGGACACCTGCAGTCAGCTTTAATCAAAGAAGACTACAAATACATTGTCACCTCTGGGGGGCTAAAATGGCACAGCCTATAATTAAAAAATCTCACAGCCTATAATTATATAACATTACCGACTCATTCGTGCTACAACCACAATAACAAAGCTGCAGCATAGCTCTAATACGTAAAATGTGCTCGACACTCGGTTCTGTGGCCCATAGACATTTACATCTAGAAGTCTCTTCGATTGAAATCAAAATGTCACCATTTATCACCCTCATTTTATTAAAAACGTCCCCCGGCCTTTAATATAAGGAATTAAATTCTAAGAATTTTTTAATCTATCACTCACCTCTCTCTTTCACAACAAATATTACAAAACAGAATCAAGGTCCTGCAGATATATATAATTTGATTTCGTACGTGACAATAAAGCGATCCAATCGAGACGGACGCGACCTCAATAAAATGCTAATTAAACAATAATTTGTATAGAGTGTGGCAGAAGTTTATACATCCTACGGAAGTGGCCTTAGAGTTCCTTCCTAAATTTTTACACAAATATTGTTTTTGTATCTGTGTGCGTTGCAGTATTTGCCTTACTGATGTATTACAGAAGTTTACAACTTATAGAAGTGGCCTTACTGACGGGTTTTTACCCAAATTGTTGTTTTATATCTGTGTGCATAGTATTTCGTATTACTGCATCTGCATCTTTTTTTTTGCACCCACGAGCAAAAGCAAAGGGCTACCCTCCGGGAAGCGGGGGAGGTAGGTGGTGAATGATCTAAGCATACCATGCAGCCGGCTGCGTGGTTATGTGGACTCACTGAGAAACCTAGAGTGCCTATCCTCTAAACACCACCTGAGACTGACTTTAACCTGGTAAGATCTTATTGCCGTATCGGAAGCGACGTCCCTTGGGGAAAGGGGGGCGCAGACATCTGCATGCAAATAGCTCGTTTTTATAGACTAGCATTAGATGCACCACCTAGCGGCGAGTCCAAATACTTGCAGGGAGATCGCTTATTTTTGTAGTCCCCTAATATTTCACATGCAATAAGTAAGTGGACAAACAATGTATTTAAACAATGTATTTAAATAAATAAAATGAGAACATAAATGTAGTCGAAGTCCATTAAATACGCATTATTAAGGATAACTCGAAAACTACTAGTCTGATCTTAATCAAATTTATATGTCAGTTCATTGAGAAGAAAATTCTGAAGTAACACACGAAAGAAAAAATACAGTCGACTTGAGAACATCTTCCTTTTTTTTGAGGTCGGTTGAAAAATAAACGAAACATTATAAAGAATTTGAATATCTCCCGCACGCTCCTCATGCAATATGAAAATTTCATTCTCCTCGAGACTTATATTGCAGGTTAACAGTTTTAGAATGTCTCTGTGTATTGCAATATTCCATTAAATTCTTAAATTTAAAGTTATCGTTCGTACTTAAATTTGATGTTTCTAATTGCACGTGGTAGAGCCACGCTGCAGCTATATTATTGTTGCGCGCCTAAGTTGACGTCATGTACCCTGCACTAGCGCCATCTAGTGTCGGGGACCAGAGCGAGGAGGGCTTTCCAGAAAATGAAACGACTAATCTTTTAACCAACAGTGCCATCTAGTATCGAATTGAAGAACTAAGCTTTCTAGAAGCCTCAAACTCGAACTTTCTGCGTCTCGTCTGCGTCTGCGCCCGTATCTACGAGAATATTCTGGATGTTTCGGCGTAAAAGTGTTTTAAACCCGCTGCATGCCACGATCGGGGCAGTATTGAATTTGGCGAGACAAACGAAGCTTCGGAGCGAAATAAAGTGAATCAGTGTGATTAATTATTAGTGTGATTTAAGTTTTAATTGGTGTTCGGTAATAAAAGTGTAAATTTTGGTAATTCAATCGGCAGTTTTTATTGTCACGAACCTTAAGCTCGTAACAATTGGTGTCAGAAGTGGGATAAAATCATGTCGATTTTACCTAAGGAGGAAACGGAGGGTGTCCGTACCCGCAGTCAACGCCAGCATGAGACGGACCAGAGACGATTTGGTGGTGCAACGCCGCAGACGTCTCAGGGCCAGCCGCCGGCAACGGATCCCGGTCCGTCAGTAGCTCCTGCATCTGCAGCACTGACTTAGGTGCTCTGATGGTGATGCTGCAGGAGCAGGCCCGTCGGTTGGAAGAGCAGCTGCAGCGCGGATGAGAGGAACAGACCAGTCTGTTGAAAGAGCAGCAGGCGGAACAGGCTCGTCGGTCGTAAGAGCAGATGCTCCTCACGAAGGACCTTCACGCTACCTTTGGGAAAGAGATAAGGGAGGTGAAGGATGGGGTTGCTCAACATGACAACAGCTTGTCGGAAGCTGAAACCCAAATCAACGAAGCTAAAACCGAAATCGACCAAGTGAACAATCGGGTTGACAACGTAATGGCTGACGTGAAGAAAACGCTGGACGACCTAAAACTGGGTGATGGAACTACAGCTCCCGTAGTAGCTACTACACCTTCGCTACGTGGGTTCAAGGTGCCACCGTTCGTCGGGACTTCTTCCTAGTCAGCCTACAAAATCCAGTTCGAGGCTGTTATGAAGGCGAACGGCTGGAATAAAAGTCAGGCCATGACTGCTCTCACATTAGGCATGGGCGACCAGGCCTTAACAGTTCTGGAAGCTCTCGGTGAGGAAATGACTTATGAGCAGCTCCTTGAGGCATTGGAGGCGAGATATGGCGACGCTCACCTGGAACACGTCTTTCGTGCGCAGCTTAAAGATCGCGTGCAGCGCATCAACGAAAACCTGCAGCAGTGGGCTCTAGAGGTGGAGAAGCTGGTGCGAAAAGCATACTGGTCTGTACATATCTGGTCTGGTACTGGTCTGGTCATACATAAACATAAACGTAAACACTCACGCCTGTCACCCAGAGGGGTAGGCAGAGACTACAGATACTTCCATTTGGCACGATCCTGACACACCTCTCTCGCCTCCTTCACATCCATACACCTACGCATACATGCTCGTCGGTTAAGGGTACTCCTAATTTGGCCCGTTTTCATTAAATCGTCAATTTGGTTGATAAATTTTCGCCTAGGACGTCCCTTTCCGACTCTGCCATTCTATTCTGCAACATAAATTTTCTTAGCCATTCTTTCCTCATTGATTCTTTCCACATGACCAAACCACCGAAGCATTCCTTTCTTAATCCTGGTCACAACATCATCTTGCAAACCACACAATTTCTCACCTTGTCTTCTCTTATCACACAATTTCTCACCTTGTCATTCAGATTCAGCCCTAACATACTCCTTAACGACCGCATTACTACTGCGCTCATTCTACTCTCGTGCTTCTTCTGCCACACCCAACTTTCACTACCATACGTTAAATTAGGGACCAACACAGCATTGTGAATTACCATACTTGCCTTTTTCGACACATTTTGACTCTTCACAATAGAGTGTAGGGCCTCATTTATTCTATTTCCTGCATTCACTCGTCGTTCTATATCCTTATCACATCTCCCATACCTGCTAAATACGCAACCCAGATATACAAACTCATCTACTTGCTCGATCAACTCTCCTTCTATTCTTATTTCACATATCGTCTTTCTTAGCTTTCAAAAACCATAACTTTCGTCTTACTTGCGTTCACTTTCATACCCCTTTCTTTTAATGATCTGCTCATTAATGTAACCATCATTTGCAGCTTGGCCGCCGAAAAGGCATTTGACGGTTAACTCACCCATTCTTAATCCGCATTCTTCAACTTTTAAATTTTGCAAACAACTGTCCATAAATAGGTTGAACAGCCACGGGGAAGCCACACAGCCCTGTCTGACAACTTTATGGATGTCAAACCAGTCCGAGTAGACCCCGTTGATCCTAACACAAGCACTAGAGTCCCTATAAAGCGAATCCAATGCCTGTATCAAGCCAGCGTTCAACCCAAATGAATTCAGTGTTTGCCATAGCTCATCCCTATCCACTCTGTCATAGGCCTTTTCCATGTCCATGAACGCACAAAAAACCTTTTGGTTTTTGGGCAAAAACTTTTCCGCGATCGTGCACATAGAAAAGACTTGATCTGTACATCCCATTCCCTTTCTAAATCCCGCTTGCACATCCCAAATTTTTTCATCAGTTTCTTTCATGACCCTTTCAAT